TATGTTGTGGTGATTTCGATTGGCTTTTTTCTTCCACAATCTTTGAAGTGATGATAGTTGGCGATCAAAACGATTCAAATCATTTTTCTCGGTTCTTCAAGGAAATGCTTGAAAGTATATTCTAAGAAGGCCCAGTCTTGTGAGAACACAGGAAATATGAGTTGTATTTTGAGGGTACTTGGAGTTTTATCAGAACATGCATGACCATCTGCATGATCCAAGTTTGAAATGAAGTTGTCGATACAATATGTATTTTTTAAATCATTTATTTCTCGATAGATCCATAGGTACAAATGATGTATATGGTAGAAAAACGTTCCCTTATTAATAAATTCACCCATTTTTCTTTGTCAAATTTACCATTTATGACAACCATGTCTGCACCGTCTACTGGTATATTTTCAATGCAAAAATTAACTCTGTTGCCGTTGATTGCTTTAAGAGAGTACATACAACTTCTAGTACGGTGATATTAGGTTGGTTTAAGTTTTCGCAGTCAAAAGTTGCTTTAAAATTATGACCTTAATGCTGAAGTACTAATATTAAACACCAAAAAGCAAAAGAAGCTAAGTAAGATATTTAAAGTTAAAACTTTTGTTCCAACACAAAAAAGCCATATACATCAGGGCCCATCACCTTTCATTGAACCGCGACGGGGGCCGACATCGTCTACCAGATACCTTTGACCCAGTGTTGACGTCACACTTCAAAGAAGCCACGTGAAAAGCTTCACTGGGTCAGTCTACTGAGGAAGACCAGAGTTACTGGTCGAAAGCTCTAGGTGGGAGAATAATTTGTGTTGGACCAAAAGTTTTAATTTTAAACATGTAATTACCAACACGGATGAACTTTCATGATAAGCTAAGTAACATGTTATCTAAGGAAAGTAAGAATTAAAAATAGCGACGTCTGTTGGATCTGCAATAGTGGATCTTGGCAGCCATCATTCGTTGACGTCACGTAGTGGCGGTGGCATACACTAGTAATCACCATGACAACCTGAAAAGATAGACACAAGGAAAACACAATCATTTGGGTTATCTTTCGACCGACGGTTCATGTACATGTTACACATTGGGTTTTGATTTCTATTTACTTTACTCATCATAGAAACTGCCATAACCACATTTACATACCCGCGTCAATTAGGAGTTTTTCGTAATGTTTAACTGTTTTTTCCAGTTCTTTTAATTACATGTGATATGTGTTGACTATAGTTCTGTCAGTTCATTTCAGCGACGCTGAAGAAGATTGATGGATGTCAATTCAAAAAGTTTCCGTAATTTATCCAGTAGTAGGGTTCGAATTGTATTTGACTCCCCTCCAGTTCTAGGTCTTGTTTTGTCGTACACCGATGTTACTGTTTCTTAACCCCATTATGTGAATGTGTACTTCATTAGTTTTATTTATCTACCTTTCCATCCTCCTTTTTGTGTCCTTCTGGACCGTAAACGCCGTTCTCATCCACGTCCCTCTTACGGCGTGCGCCCTTGGCCTGGTGGCGGGACACGTTTTAAAAGGAATGTGTGCCACGTGGACCAGATGTGAGGATTGTGAGTTACCCGAATCGCGGTTTGGGTGACTTCACATAAACACGGCCTTGGACTCCTGAGCTACATGCGGGTTCACAGCAGATGAGGAGAGGGTGCAACGTAGAAGTCATCATCGACAACGATGGACAACCAAGGCATACTTGTTGCGAGGCAGTTTTAGGACTATCGTTTTTATTTTCTGTTTTTATTCCTAGTTGAATCTGTTCACAAAAATACGCACATGCACTCGTGTAACTTTATTACAACAGATTTATTACCATCCCACATACTTTGAAATGTACAGTTATTCCATTGTAGAGATAAAATGAGGAGTTGTACAGTTGTATACCAGCAAAGATAATACAATAATGTCGAAAACAACACAACACAAATTTAAACGATTGCTTGATCAAACCGGTATTGAAACACCAATATAGGTCAGTCAACATAATTCAATCAGACCTATGCCCATTGTTACTAAGTTTGTA